GTATAGCACCTTATTGATAAAGTATAGCACTTTATGATTTCTGGAATTTCTGTAATTTATGCCATACTATAAAGTGCTATACTTTATCAATAAGGTGCTATACTATTGTCATAAAGTGCTATACTTTACCATAAGGTGCTATATTTTATCAATAAGGTGCTATACATTTTTATAAAGAGCTATACTTTTCCTAAAGCTAGAAAATTAAGCGACGACCTCTCGTTGAGGTGAAGAATTGATCAAGCAACACATCTTACACGTCATCAAGTGTTTGCATTGCTCCGAAAAAACTGATTTGGTTTATCCCACAACATTACAGAAATTTCAGAAACCATAAAGTGCTATACTTTATCAATAAGGTGCTATACTATTGCGATAAAGTGCTATACTTTGCCATAATATGCTATACTTTATCAATAAGGTGCTATATATTTCTATAAAGAGCTATACTTTTCCTAAAGATGAAAAATTGAGCGACGACATCTCGTCGATGTGAATAATTGATCAAGCAACACATTTTACACATCATCAAGTGTTCACATTGCGCCGAAAAAAACTGATTTGGTTTATCCTACTACGTTGCAGAAATTTCAAAAATCATAAAGTGCTATACTTTATCAATAAGGTGCTATATTATTACCATAAAGTGCTATACTTTACCATAATGTGCTATACTTTATTAATAAGGTGCTATACATTTCTATAAAGAGCTATAATTTTCCTAAAGCTAGAAAATTGAGAGACAATCTCTCGTCGAGGTGAATAATTGATCAATCAACACATCTTATACGTCATCAAGTGTTCGTATTACTCCGAAAAAAACTGATTTGGTTTATCCCACTACGTTGAAGAAATTTCAGAAACTATAAAGTGCTATACTTTATCAATAAGGTGCTATACTATTGTTATAAAGTGCTATACTTTGTCATAATGTGCTATACTTTATCAATAAGGTGCTATACATTTCTATAAAGAGCTATACTTTTCCTAAAGATGAAAAATTGAGCGACGACCTCTCGTCGATGTGAATAATTGATCAAACAACACATTTTACACGTCATTAAGTGTTCGCATTGCGCCGAAAAAAACTGATTTGGTTTATCCCACTACGTTGCAGAATTTCCAGAAATTATAAAGTGCTATACTTTATCAATAAGGTGCTATACTATTGCCATAAAGTGCTATACTTTGTCATAAGGTACTATACTTTATCAATAAGGTGCTATATATTTCTATAAAGAGCTATACTTTTCCTATAGATAGAAAATTGAGCGACAACCTCTCGTCGAGGTGAATAATTGATCAAGCAACACATCTTACACGTCATCAAGTGTTCGCATTGCTCCGAAAAAAACTGATTTGGTTTATCCCACTACGTTGAAGAAATTCCAGAAACCATAAAATGCTATACTTTATCAATAAGGTGCTATACTATTGCCATAAAGTGCTATACTTTGTCATAATGTGCTATACTTTATCAATAATGTGTTATACATTTGTATAAAGAGCTATACTTTTCCTAAAGCTGAAAAATTGAGCGACCTCTCGTCGATGTGAATAATTGATCAAGCAACACATTTTACACGTCAACAAGTGTTCGCATTGCGCTGAAAAAAAAACTGATTTGGTTTATCCCACTACGTTGCAGAAATTCCAGAAATCATAAAAGTGCTATACTTTATCAATAATGTGTTATACTATTGCCATAAAGTGCTATATTTTGCCATAAGGTGTTATACTTTATCAATAAGATGCTATACATTTCTATAAAGAGCTATACTTTTCCTAAAGATAGAAAATTGAGCGACAACCTCTCGTCGAGGTGAATAATTGATCAAGCAACACATCTTACACGTCATCAAGTGTTCGCATTGCTCCGAAAAAAACTGATTTGGTTTATCCCACTACGTTGAAGAAATTCCAGAAACCATAAAATGCTATACTTTATCAATAAGGTGTTATACTATTGCCATAAAGTGCTATACTTTATCATAATGTGCTATACTTTATCAATAATGTGCTATACATTTCTATAAAGAGCTATACTTTTCCTAAAGATAGAAAATTGAGCGACAACCTCTCGTCGAGGTGAATAATTGATCAAGCAACACATCTTACACGTCATCAAGTGTTCGCATTGCTCCGAAAAAAACTGATTTGGTTTATCCCACTACGTTGAAGAAATTCCAGAAACCATAAAATGCTATACTTTATCAATAAGGTGTTATACTATTGCCATAAAGTGCTATACTTTGTCATAATGTACTATACTTTATCAATAAGGTGCTATACATTTTTATAAAGAGCTATAATTTTCCTAAAGCTGAAAAATTGAGCGACGACCTCTCGTCGATGTGAATAATTGATGAAGCAACACATTTTACACGTCATCAAGTGTTCGCATTACACAAAAAAAAACTGATTTGGTTTATCCCACTACGTTGCAGAAATTCCAGAAATCATAAAGTACTATACTTTATCAATAAGGTGCTATACTATTACCATAAAGTACTATACTTTGTCATAATGTGCTATACTTTATCAATAAGGTGCTATACATTTCTATAAAGAGCTATACTTTTCCTAAAGCTGAAAAATTGAGCGACGACCTCTCGTTGAGGTGAAGAATTGATCAAGCAACACATCTTACACATCATCAATTGATCAAACAACACATCTTACATGTCATCACACGTTTGCGTTGCTCAAAAACGATACAATTTCAATTCTGAAACGACACATTTTTAACAATAAGAACATAGTTACAGCGTGAAACAACAATTACACATCACCACTACAAAAGATCATCACAATATGTAACACTTTACTTTAAAGAGTTGCACTTTTCCAAAATCTGAAAAATTGATTACAAGCTCACATGACATACATCAGAGAACACTAGGCGTAAATTCAACGAACATGTGGTGGGCGACGACAAGTGCTTCAGATTCTTGCCTGTCTCCATGTCGGGGAACTGGGGGGAGTCGATGTCGAAACCGTTGGTGGGCTGTTCATCCGATTCGAGGTTGACGGTGGTGGGTGACGTGGCGGCGATGGGAGATAAAGGGCAGCAGAGGGAGAGGTTGATGGGTTTGAGGGAGGAGGGGAAGTGAAGGAAGGGGAGAGGAGGAGGTTGGTGGTGGTCATTGAAGGAGAAGAGGAAGGAAGAAAAGAGCTTGTGTAGTGAATTTGAGGGTAAATACAATAATAATGGGTGTATTATACATATTGGGTTTAGAAATAAGTGGGGTGGGATACAATGGGTGTATTGATGTTTGGAAAAGTTAATGGGTTTTTAAATAAGTGGGTGTAAAACTTTGGGTTAAAAAAGATAAACCCCATGAAATTTTCACTTTAGTTGCCACTCATTCGTTTGGTGGATATTATATTTCTAATGGTGGGTGCTTTTCTGCGGTTATTTGCCTATGATACAGTCAAGAAGGTCCTCACCCCAAAAATTGGCGAACAACCGAAGCTTCCCGTAACTGCATCACTAATTGCTGGAGCATGTGCAGGAGTTAGCTCAACATTGGGCATGTATCCTCTAGAATTACTCATTTAACTATAGAGGTCGGTACTCTAACCAAATATATTTTATACTCTACTTAGATATACCCCACGTACTATCACCCAAACCAAAGGCAGGTAGACCCCTTGTAGTTTTATTGTCACAGATAGGCTCCCTGGTTGATTTTTTTAAACCCTTTTATCCTCGAGATGGAGATGTTGTTTGGGTTAACTGCTGATGGACTCCTTGTACCATCTATCTGCCAATTGTGGGTAGACCCTACGCAGTTCTATTGGTGTGCATATACCCCCTATACTATTTGCCAAATTGCGGAGACTCTGGATGAATTTTTTTAAAGAACTTTGCCTATCCTCATTTGGGCTATAGTACAGGGGGTTTATCTGTAATAACCCTTTTTGGACAAATAGACCTCTTGAGGGTTAACGAGCAGAAAAATTAACTCCGGGTGTCTATATGCAACAATAGAACTACTGGGATATATCCGCAATCAGCCAATAGTACAGGTTATACACAATGAACCCTATTATATATACACATATAATTCCTGTTCTTATCACAAACCCCCCCTAACTGCAGAGAGACGTATATGAAAAAACCTAATGCATGCCTTCTTCAAAATAGTATGAAAAAACCCTATTATATATACACATATAATTACTTTGCATATGACACCCTAAAAAAGCATACAATAAAGCATTCAAAACCGATGACATGGGG